ATCTCATTATTCAAATGAAAACACTTGTTATGTGTACGTGTAGATGCACAGCAGCGTACAGTATAATAATGAATTTCACCTAAAATGGTGTTTGGGTTAATAGGATTGATCTGTTTTCTTTGTACCACATAAGTCAACAGCTGAAGCAAAAGCTCATCAAATGTTAAAAATAATTCCAAACAACAATTGTATGTACTGGTACTTTAAGTGAGCACAATACTGGTCTGATCCAGGGTTTTCCCAAAATCGGAGGACGTATTCTCTGACTGCAAATAACTACATCCCCAGTAAAACTGGTTCAATTTTTTCCAAAGCTTGAAGAGGAGGAAACCAAAAAACTTCCTAAACAGCCTCCAGTGTGAGCAGAGAATTTGCATTTCGGAAGAAAAACTGAAGAAAATGGGTTTAGTTATATTGATACTCAGTGACAAGAACAAGTCTTTGAATCAGAGAAATGGAAAATAGATCACCCAAACTTGAGATTATTATTTTTTGTGTTTGTTACCAAGCAACGAGTCTCCGAGTGTAAAAGGGATAGCCTATATAGAATGAACACGAATTACTCTCAAACATAGCAAACAAACCAGGTTAATGTGGCGTAGTATCTTTATAGTTATGATTTCTGCAACCTTTTAACAAATATCATCACATAGAGTTGTATCACCTACCTGAAGTGGTTCGTCTCTAAGAAAAATGCAAACAAGGTTGTCAAAATTTTCACTAGCTGACGGTTCATTCCTCCTGCTTTCTGTGATGGTTTGGAAAATATCCCAGAAATGATTCCAGAGAGATGCAGGGAAAAAGTAAGCTGGTGCTGCCTAGATTCCCAAATTCAGCAACACTTTAATTTTCTTGACAATCAGGAAGAGAAGGTCTGGATCTCTACAAACTGGGGGTAAAAAAGAAGTGCCAGTCCTTGGAATCATGGTCAGGTCAAGCCTAGGCTCATCTCCAGCACCCAGCACAAAAGAGACAAAGCGTCAGACCTGGTCGTTCCCCTGCCTCGCTTTTGGTGATGGAGGGGGG